CCGTGGGCTACCATGCGATGAAGCAGGTTGGGTCAATGTCGAGTCGATCTTGAAGTACGACAACATTTGGAGAGACCAACACACATTGGCTGGAACGACCTACGTCAACTACCCGATACTTGTTGAGAGGTGGAACAATTTCCAGAGAGTGATCTTCACTGAGTACAAGCAAACGAAAAGAATCCGAGCTCAAGTGCTAGGACTCAAGGTCACAAAAGGTGAGTTGGAATACATCATGAACAACTTCAATGATGGATTGACCTCGAGACTTGAACGACACACACTGAGGTTGGAGATCGGCACAGCAGATCGAGAGATTTGGCTTTGGCCGGTGGCAATCCGTGCCCCCATGGCACATTCAAGAGTTCAAGGCGGTGTGCACATCGAAGACAAGAAGACTTCCTATCAGATGAACCCTGGAGTCGGATACACTCTTGGAGGAGGATTTCACTGCACCACTTTTGACAACATCGCTCAAATCTTCAGAGAAGGACTACGTCCCGGAGGAGGAGGCGACCGCATCAATACGTTCTTCGTGCCATTCGCACCGTGGGACGTGCGAAGTCAGACGGTGCTGAGATTCAGGAAGATTGAACAAACTGATCTTGTCTACATCTACATTACGTACGATTCCATCGCCAAGTTCTCCCCTCGATTATCAGCAGACGGACGCATTTTGGTCCAAGAAACAATTCCATTCGAATCATTCGATGCAGTTTGGTATTACGATTGGAAGGAAAAGGACTACTACCGTCTCATGATCACAAAGGGAAGAGATCAACTTGTACTTTCCGTGCAAGGAGCAAGAAGGGTGGCCACCATTGAACGATTTGACAAACTCATTGGGAACATTGTGCCTGATGAATCATCACCCGATCTGAACGAACTTCGAAAGCTTGTCGATATCAGGACCGGTCATTTCAGTCATACTCACAGATTGTTCCCAGGACATCCGGATTGGAATGATGCAATATCATTGTTAGCAGTCACTCATCATCCCAGCAAGGAGGACCATCGACTATGCCCCGCATGTCTGATGGAGACCCCTGCACCGCTATCGATTTGTGTGATGTGCAAAGGATTTTTGGTGAGTCATGGATGGAGGAAGCGAATCAAGATCACCGTGGCTCCGGTACCAAGTGCCGAATCACATCATCGAGAAGAAGATCTCAAAGACCATGTCAAGAAAGCATGGGAGGAGGTGAAGATCGATTTGACAGGTGAAGATGATGACGACGAACTGATGCAAGATGATGATGACGTCACCATGAAAAGTCCGGAACAAGAACCTCAACCAGAAGAAGAAAATGATGATCAAGCCTCGAAGAAGGGCGACATCAATGATGAGAGAAGAGACTTCAGGGAACAAGATGAGGTTGACAAATTTCTCAATGAGGAAGGAAAACCGACCGACGAAAATGACGATGAAGAGATAGCGGTCGATGAAATCAACATTGAGGAGTATGAGGCTGGAGAAGCTCGTGATGCAGTAATTGAGTACCCCAAGTGGATGAAGAGGGTTGAGTTTGGATCAAAGGTCCTACCAATCGAGCCTTGCACAATTGGAGATGCTCAGCCGGAGCTCATCAAAATCCTCCTGTTGCAGATTGGATTACATATCGTCAGGATCTACAGACTATTCCAACGGAACTTCTGTGGAGACATCGAGACGGCATGGAAACACTTTCAACAGAACCAGAAGTTCAGGATGGACCTGGACTCAAGGGTGCCTTACCTAGGCGAGGATGAGAATGGCGAACTCATTGAGCCAACCGCACAACAGATGAAAGAGCTCTACAAGGAAATCGGCCGACCACAGCAAAAGGACGACATCGGGGAAGAGGGATTCGTCAATGCATACTATGGGGCGGTAGTACTCAAACGACTTCTCGTATACACCTTTGAATGCGGCTATACATATGAAGACTTGCAAAATATCTTCTTCGATGAAGAGATGGAGAAACTGTCGAAACACGACTCCACAAGGGACGAGATGAGAAAGACCACAGCCGCCCGCGAAGCCCTTGACCGACAAGATGTCCTGGTCAGAAGAATCATTGCAGGTGCATACAGAGTGAACGCTGTTTATTTCTTCAGGAACGTCGACTTTCAAGACACGATCACACTGAATCCAGTTGACATTGTGTGTGCTCTTCGACCTCCTCTTCGAAGAATTTCAGTTTTGCATCTGATCCTTCAAAATGGCCGACAATTGCCACGACCTCTACTCCAAAGACTGTATGATGCAATCAATGACTACAACCACATCAAGCAGCGGGATGATCAACGACCAAGATGGGGCATCCACATGACAGAAGCCCACCTACTTGCGATTGCTGATACCCCGATTCCTGCCGATCGTGAACGTACTAATCCAGCAGCTGGCAAATCAAAGGCAGCCCCGAAGGCAGCACCAGCACTGGGCAGAGTGTCAAAAGCGAAAGCATCATCGTCAGCAACATGGAGAACCGTCGAAGCCGCTCCTCCGCCAAAACAAGCTCCAGTAACCCCGCCGCAGAAAGGTGGAAAAGACCAAGGGAAAGGTGGAAGATCTTATTCGCACCGTGGTGGAGACTGGAACCAACATGGATACTATGGATGGGGATATAGATGATAAATCGATATGACCTCTGCATAGGTCCTGATTGAACCTGGCGAAGCGAGGATGCAATCATAGCTCGAGATTTACCTCTACTTCATTTCGAATGACTTCTGAGAGGACTCTGAGCCGGCTAATTTAGAACCACATTTTTTTTTGAACATCATTGCACGAGACGCTGAGTTTCTACAGCGGTCTACATCTCAACCGACGAAGGAACGGGAAGGTAAACTTCTAGTTCCATAGTCATCTTTGTATTTTGATTTTTTTTAATTCACATGCGTGAGTGGGATTCCATGCTGGCTACGCCACATCGGATGAACCTCAATGCTGGACACCGACTACGTCGTGTCAGCATGCACGTGAACAGAACCTTTATCTTTTGGTAGAGATCGTAGCAAGCCGCAATGTAGATTGGAAGTTCTGAACGGACTTTAGCTCTCCATAATTAAATAAATGAACAGCTGCAGATCTAGTGGAACAATTTAAAGGACACTCCTTTGCGCGTGGCCAACAAAGTTGGCCATGCGTGGGGGGTGCGAATGGAGTGTAGGCTACGGACTACTACACACTCCAATGTAATTCAGCTCCTAGTTGTCCACTACCAAAGGATGCATCAAATTGCACCTTTGGCTCAAGACTACTGCAGGTACCGGAAGAAAGTATCGCCATGCTGAAGCCGCAATTCCCGTGCCGTCGTCACTGAAGACATTCACTTCTAGACCAAACACAAGCACATAATCGGGGAGATAACCTCCGATTCACATAATATATATATATGCACCATATTGTCATCTTACATCCCTGCTTGTGACGATGATTTAAATTCTACATGTGAGGGGGGGCAGCACCAAGCTGATTCAGAGCACCTTAAAAGTTACTGTAAGGAGAGGGTTGTCCCATGGTAACATGACTGGAGACCAGGACAAAGTCTGCAACGAAGAGGCCCAGTGGACCTGGTTTTTCTAGACTCTAGGGCATTTGTTTTGGGTTCCATGGGTTCCAAGCTTTTCTATCCGTTTTGGGTTTTGTTGGTTTTCTGATGCTCTCCTCCTTTTCTATTTTTTTTTTGGGCCGTATTGGAATGGATTTGGAGGACCCCCCGAGTTTTCGAAGGCAATGGTTGGCCTTCGACCTCGCCGGGATGGGGGGGCATTGTTATCATGAGCAAATTCATGATGGTTACTATAATGTACCTAGAACAACGGTCATCTGAGTGAAATGCTCGATGGGAAATGGTGATGTCCTGTGATTCAGCCTCAAGGAAATGCTCGATTTTCGAAGTTTGGAAAGCGTTCGCCAGCACCAGCGCCATAGAACGGACCTTGCGGTTTGGTGATTTTGTCCTTGGTTTTTCGGCATTTCCATGGGGTGTCGGTCACTTCTTGAAGCTGTCATGGTGATATGGTGGAGCTTCTCCGAGAGGCCCAGATGCAGGGTGGTAGTTTCGCCCTGCTGATGTGCTTGGCCGCCTTGGGCTACGCTGGGGGCCCCGGCCATTGGACTTTGGGTATCGAAGTAGAGGTAGAAAGCCAATTGTGGGGCAATTTTTGGGAGGAAAATGAGGCATAAACCAGGAAATCCACGGCGAAAAAATTATAGAAGTGGGGAGTTTAAGAGTTTATACAATCATGAAATGGATTGAAATGGTAATTCAACCATCACAAACCAGGAATATATCTTTTTATACAGGTCATTTACTTTGGTGCCCTAGTGACGATCTCGAAAATATGAACAGCAAAGGCTACAATGGGAGGATGGTAAATCGTCCTGATTTAGTTTTGGAGTGTTTAATTTTGAACCATCGCCAAGTGTGGTCACTTGATTCATTGATTGTCAGGAATGGCAACTTTCAGACCCAGCGCAAGGCATTTGATGAATTTCAAGAGAACTTTCGTAGCTGAGTGTTGGGAAAGAACGAGAGTTTCGTGCGTGGATATCTTCTGGTGGCGTTTGATTGTTGGAGGCTAATATAGGCTAATATTCTGTGTTCCTAATTTTCGAGTTAGACAGTTTATTAGTTTCATTCTTTTTGAATTGTCCAAGCTGAGTCCAACTTGAGCTGATCTCATGCCACGATGAACCCTTGGGGGATGACCTCAAAAAGGCCTGGTCCAAAGAAACTGACCACACAACGGCATTGCTCGGAAGCCCAGCTAGAAAAAATCTACTTGATCTACTTCTTGAACATGTTAAAACCAAGAGAATCCAAGTCATTCTACACAAAGCATGGTGATCAAGATCATAACATAGGAATCGCAATATATATATAATTAATTATAATTATATATATATGGATATATATATATAAATATATATGGTGTGAATATATATATATATATACATGGCACATTCGACATATAGAATGATGCAACATCCTGGATGTATCACGGACCCATTCCCGTGCCCAAAAAATCTACGCCTCGACCCTCGACCTCACCATGCCGCCCGGACGCGAGCGAGCGCCGTCCTCGAAGGCCAAGGAAAAACAGGTGCCCTGACCGCATGGAACGGCGGAAGAGGATTTACCATGATTTACCCATATAACTCTATAATACTCTATACATATGATTTTGAGGGTTCCATGTTTGATTTAGAGGCTGTAGAATTTTCATAAGAATCAATCACAAAGTTATTTTGGGAACTGCTCACGGATGGAACGTGGTCCAAACTACGCCACAGATGAGACCTGACTCTCATCATTGCCTATAGACCAAAGGAAAAAACAATGACTGATCTAGTGGTTTTCATTATCTAGAAAACCATCTGGTTTCTCGGTTCAGGATTTTCCTTTACTAACCATGACATACAACTCTAATATCGTTATTATAGTGGTATATGGTAAAATGGTGTCAAAAATGCCATGGTTCTCCTTTCGGAAACCCAGGAGTCGCCAACAGCCTTCACCAGCTTTCCAGACTTCTCGCGCATCAACGATGAGTACCTCGTCATATCGTACCGGGGACGAGGGTATGCCATAGGATCCATAGAGAACCAGGCCGCCAGGTGGAGCCGACTTCAGCAAAAATGGGACAGATATGCAACAGATATGCTACATTTCCCTTCATTTCCTAAGATTTGTAACATTGTCTTTTGAAGCTATCTCAGAGTAGCAATGGTTTCGTCTCAGATGTGAGTTTTTTTTTCATAACCTGGGTACCAAACCTGAGCCCAAAAACACCAATGTTTTTGTTTTTTCAAGTGCTTGGGACCTTGGGATCCCCTGGGCCCATGTTGACACCCTGCAGATGCTTCAACGGAGTCAAAGAAGACACCTTTTCAACACCGCGCCCGACCAGTGGCGGAAATCGAAATGGCGGCCTTGGCTTAGGCCCGGGGTTTGTGTCGGTGTCCCGGGCCAGTGGGATCATCGCACCAAATGGGGATCAGCAGGGTTAGTCAAGTAGTTTTTTGGTTCACACTTAAAGGTTGTGTGAATTAAGTGGGGAAAAAATGGGAAAACATGGGAAAAATTGGAAAAAGATGGGAAAAGATGGAAAAGGTAAGTCTTTGCTGGTTTCCGCTGTTCTCCGCTTTGCAGAAACAGCCGCATTGAATTCGCTGAATGTCTTTTGGTTTTGTGTGCCATGGCCGCCACGTGTTGTGAATCAGCATCTGACTTTTGCCAGCGTTGACATTGCATGATTCAGAGTCAACGCTTGGAGCTTTGATTTCACTTTCAGTTTGGATTTTAGTTCCCATATCAGGGCATTATTTGAAAATGGGGAGCTTGCTAACAACAGTTACCTGAATAATCATAGGAGGTGTTTTTTTTTGTTTTGCATTTTGTTTTTTTCCTGGCTCCTGGTGGCTTCTGTGGCTTCTGTGGCTTCTGTGGCTTCTGTGGCTTCGTGGCTTCTGTGGCTTCTACGGTCCTGGCTCCTGGTGGCTCCTGGTGGCTCCTGGTGGCTCCGTTGGCTCCTGGTGGCTACTGTGGCTTCCGTGGCTCCTGCTGGCTCCTGGTGGCTTCTGTGGCTTCTATGGCTCTTGGCTCCTATAGCTCCTCCCCTCCTATGGCTCATCTATCATCTATCGGAAACTATCAATCAATCTATCGGTGAAGCATGTTCACCAGGTGCATGTTGTGCATTAGATACACCTTGAGTATCATTCATCCATCCATCCACCCATCCACCCACCCATCCACCCACCCATCCACCCACCCATCCACCCACCCATCCACCCCCCACCCCCACCCATCACGCCACCCATCCACCCACCCATCCACCCACCCATCCACCCCTTTCCATCCCCCAATCCACAACCCACCACCCATCCACCCATCCACCCATCCACCCACCACCCATGCCCTCCACCCATCCACCCATCCACCCATCCCCCATCCCCCTCCCCCCATCCACCCATCCCCCGCCACCCACCCACCCTCCACCCATCCACCCATCCCACCCATCCACCCACCACCCTCACCCATCCACCATCCACCCCTCCACCCATCCACCCAGCCACCCATCCACCCATCCACCCATCCCCCATCCACCCATCCACCCATCCACCATCCACACCATCCCCCCATCCCCCATCCATGCCTCCACCCACCCATCCACCCTCCAACCCTCCCCCGATCACCCACCCCCCATCCAACCCTCCACTCCATCCACCACCCACCCACCCACCCACCCACCCAGCCCACCCCCACCCACCCACCCACCCCACCCACCCATCCATCCATCCATCCATCCATCCATCCATCCATCCATCCATCTCTATATTTCTATCTCTATATATATCTCGATCTCTATCTCTATCTGAATCTTTATCTCTATATCATTTCTATTTCTATCTATCTAGCTATCTGTCTAGTTCTATACATATATACATATATATATATATTATATCTATATCTATATTTACACCTACATCTACATCTACATCTATATCTATATCTATCTACAAGGTTTGCAGCGAGATGATATTCAAACTTCAAGCCAGCCCTGAACCAAGCCAGAATATATAGTACACCAACATTATATAAAGAGATCTTAAACCAACACGGTGATAGCATCCAATGAAACTATTGTGCATCGCTGTGCCTTAACCTACAGTCCACATGTTTCCAGGGTGCATGTCGTGTAGTATATACACCTTGAGTATCACATTCAACCCAGCACCTTGCATGTGAAAATAGGTGTTTCCAATCTGGTTTGGGGGGAGGCGCTGCGCCCTCCAACCCAATCCCCCCCGCCCGCTTTTGTAAAACTTAAATTCAAGCTTGCACACTTTTCAATTCACTAGGTTGATTAGACTATATATACAATATACCTATATACATATATAAATACATGTAAACATATATATATATACACACATCTTTATGGTTGCTTATATATACACAGCTTTCATCCCAAAATAAACTATAAAAAATCATGGGCATGCATGTGCATCCACATAATTATAGTCGTTTGTATGTGCATGTTGCATCCCTAAATAACCCCTAATCCAACCTTAAACAAATTTGAACCCCATGTATAGCCCGCTAGATGCTTTGGAGCCGTGTCTATACAGAATAGCCTGGTATAAACTGGAATGGCCACAGTATGAGGGCGTATAAAGTGGAAAACCAACAGGTTATAAAGTCACAAACCAAAGTCTTTAAAGTCGCCTGGCCACGTAAAAACATAAAAGTCAATGTGGATTTGTGATGGTATTTGCGAACAATTCCCATTACTATAAAGTGAAGTGTGCAACAACCAAACAGCAATACTTGTGTCGAACAGTGGTACTATAATAATCCCTGCCCTCTTAAAATTGAAATTTGAGGGGGGGAAGTCGTACTGAAATTTCATTTTAGAATTCCATTTTTGCATTTTTTTTCTCAATGATCAACATTCCTCGTCATTCCATATCATTGGCAAGCAGTTGCAAATTAAATACTTGCGCTTAGCTCCGGAGGAGCTAAGCACATGTCAGACTGAAGCAGCACATGTGTAGGGGTGGCATCCCCCCAAAAATTGCGTTGCCGTCATCGTACTTGCGCTTAGCTCCTCCGGAGCTAAGGGCAAGTATTTTCTAACCAGTGCCCAAGGCTTGTTACGAAATGTTACTTAAAAATTCCATTTGAGGGGTTGGATCACTATCCCAGGGTTTCCAAGCAAAAAAAAGTGGATTTCGACAGGTTGGTTCTGTCCCCCCCCGCCTTCCCCCCTCTATAGGGGTAGGGATCTACAATATACTACAATGTGGGTTGCCCAGTAAACAACGATCGTTGTAATATCGATGGTGCTCTTAATCACGTCGATGGAAACATCAACACAAACAACTGTGACCATCAACACTGTGGTGCTTTCAACCGTCTGTGCTACTCTTTCGTTGAAGCTCAAACCAACCTTAAAGAAGCCTTAAACCAACCCTAAATAGACCCCAAACAAATCTAGAATAAACCATAAACCATCCCTAAATAAACCCTAAACCAAGCCCTGCAGAGATATTAAATACATTTCTAAATGCACGGATCAACATATGCATATAATCATGATTAGTCATGCACGTATACCTCTATACATCTACAGTTTATAGTTTGCACATCGTGTATCTCCAAAAACCAACGAAAACTTCGGAAAAATCAATGAACACCATGTAAAAATCAATGAAAACTGTGGAACAATCAATGAACACCAGTGAAAAATGAATGAAAACCGTACAAAAGTTGAAGGAACACATAGAACAATTGAAGAAAACCATTGAACAATGGAAGAGAACCATGGAACGATCGAAGAAAAACATAGAACAATGGAAGAAAACCATGGAAAAATTGAAGATTATTATAGAAAAATTGAAGAAAACCATGGAAAATCTACGAACATCATGGAAAAATCAATGAAAACCATGCAAAACTCGATAAACACCATGGAAAAAATCATGAAACCAGTGGAAAAAATGATGAAAAGTGCGAATGAGAGATTTTAGCTACAAAATGCAGCAAATGAGAGATTTTAGCTGCAAAAACCACGGAAGGGAGCCTGGACGACCAAGAAAAACAATGGCAAAAAAAACAACAACTTAATTCTGCGGCCATAATCATACTAACCCCTGCTTAGCCTATTTATAACTGGGGTGAACCAACCCACATACGATTCCTGGGGTGCACTGCGGAGGCACCGAGAAACGCTGGGGTGTGGTGGACAACGTCTCCATCAAGGTCAGTTTCTGAAACAAGGGCCGTAAGTTGGTTGGAAGAATTCCGCGGAGCCAAGGACTCCTGAAAATGGGTAATTTCTTTGGTATGTTTTTGACATTTTTTAGGACAAGAACGAGTGTTTGGCACCGTATTTGTCAAAACATCTATAGGAATGAGCTGTTTGCTGCTACGAAGTGGGATATATGGGCCAAGTCCACGTGCGGTCCCCAATAGGCCTAGGGAATCATCGCACAAGAGCGACAAAACATGTCTTTTCGTCACCATTTTGTTGATAATTCCCGATGAACATTCCCAAATTGTCTCACAATTCTAGGATGATGAAACTGCCCAGTCAATATATGACCTATATGTTTCACAGAATTGGTCGAATGTTTTTGTTGCTTCTGAACTCCCCACAGTTTCAGCGGCAGGATTTGTTGTGGGTCTGTGACCAAACCTTTGCCAAGACTGCGCGACAAATTTGTTGCTCGCTCTCAACACGTGGAAGGGCAATGCTGGCCAAACAAGTTAAGGTTAGCTGGTAAAAGACAGTTTTTAACATGTACATATGTAATTATATGTACATACTAGACTATACTAGACTCATAGATACTCATAGGCTTGTTTTTTCCGGCCCAGTTTGACCGATGTTTGACCACATTTTAGAGCATGACCAACACGTTGACAAGAATGGCGAAGCAACTGGACCTGTGGACCTTTGGATCCAGGGCGAAGCAACACCAAGAGCAACTGCCCCTGGCAGCCTGTGGCATGCACCGGCCACCAGCATAGACCTATTTTGATAGCAACCTTTCGGGGGGAAATGGTCATTCACGCATGTTTTGTTTTTTTGTGGGTACTCGGGTACTGGTACCTCATGCAATGTTGGAGCAAACCATATCATGCAAGAGATGACCAGCACTGATTTTTTCCGAGCCCTATGGGCCATCCGTTTGTTGATTTGGGGGTTCAGAAGCGAAAACATAGCATTTAATACCAACCAATATCAAAAAAAGGCCCTGATTTTATGCGACTGCTATTCACATCCCTATACATCCCTTGTTTGAATCTCTTATCTCGACCACATTTGGCTTCACATGTGACATTCACCATGATCTCAGGTTCTGAGGTGCTCCAAAGTGTGCAAGGAGAATTTGAAGCTGCCAAGGCTCAAATGAGGCGATGCCCCAGCCACTGTGGGCGGTTCAGGTGTTTCACCAGGATCTACCAGGGGCGGGTCGCATATGGTTGCATGGTGAAATGTCTGTGGAATTTTGTGTGAAGATATCAGGGTGGAGGACTGAAAACGGAGGATTTACATGGATTTACTCCCACTATCAGATCTTTGGTCATTTCTTATGGGTGCAAAACATCTCCGACCAGTGGATTGCAGATGCACCCGGATAAATTATGATGAATTGAGAAAAGACTTTGAACATATGTTGGGGCGATGGGAACCTGAGCTGCAGATGTCATGTTCATGAAAAAGCGACCTCCCTGGAGATCATAGTTTGTTGGTATCCACAAAAGCCTTGAATCCACTTGGGGAGTGATCATATGTAAAACACCAGTGACTTTTAATTTGAGGATATTTGCAATGTGGCCCACCCAGTTATAAGTTGGTTTATAAGCCCCAGAACTATAGTTATAAGTTATAAGTACCATAAGCCATAATAGTTATTGGAGTTGTAAACCAACTTAGCTATTTATTTCAAGCCATTTCTACCACTCCACCGACCACGGCCTGCCTGTGACTTGATCTCGGTCCAGGCATGACGTGGTGCAGCCCATCACTGCGTTGACCAATGCCCTTGACCGACTTCCCTCGAGGTAGGGTCCCACGTTGGGCGTCAAAAAATCGAAAGGTGGAAACAGCGGAAGTCAGAACCGTTTCAGTCAACGGGTTGGAAGTGCATCATAAAAATACCCTCTGGTAAATATACAAAAAACGATGGAAAATCACCATTGTTAATGGGTAAATCAACTATACATGGCCATTTTCAATAGCTATGTGTATGTTTTGCATGTCATCGTGGTTGATTGATAGTGCTGTTTGATAGTGCTGTTTGAGCTCCGTAAGAGAATGATGTTGTTGGCACCAGAACACAGGTTCCATGCCTCAGTCAGCTGGCATCAGTGCTTAGCGGGTCCCATTTACATCCGGGGGTTTAGGAGTTGAGAGTAGGCGCCTCGGTTGTGAGGCAAACGTCCTTTGACCAGAAATGCATTGTCTAAAGAACCGTCCCTACTTGGAGCTTCATTATCACTCATGTGGGAAACCCAAGGATCAACCTATCATTTGGGGATGGAATACCATGGAATACCCATAAAGATGGTGATGATTTGGGGATGGTTTATGGCATCGGGTTTCCCACAGGTTTCTAAGTTTGGACCAGGGTTACAGTGCTTCTTCACGGTGGTCGCTGCACCTTGAGCTGTGATGACTTAAACTGAAGATGTTCCCACTGTCCCCAATGGTCCACATGTTCCTCCTAATTCTTCACACGGGCATGGGTCGAAAATTAAAGCCACAGGGTTTGGTCATGTTAGCATATGTTAGCTGTTAATCATCCAATTTGTGACTGGGTTTCACCAATTTTCACAAAAATCTCCAGCGGTTTTCCTCTGAGGCTGGACGGACCTATTAAGCGCATCATCGAGGCTGAGGTGATGCCATCCCTGGTGCGGCTTGGTGGCAGAGCTTCGGAGCTTCGCTATCGGTAAGGAGCTATCGGCAGCTAGGTTTCGCGAGCACGTGATAGTAATGGGAGATGCAACCAATGCCAATATATCTATATCTTAAACACACATATTGTATATATATATATATGTGTGTATATATATATACATATATATATATATATATAAATACGTACATATATTATGTATGAACTTGTGAACGGAAAAAGCAAGGAAGAGGATGGAGAAGTATTTGGCTATGGTCAATACCTATAAATAGCACTTTTAGGGCGATGAACATCCAACTACCAGCTATTTTGATGTTCACCAGGGGTACCAAGCTTTTGACGTCTCAAACTTTGAATTGAAACTGAAGGACTTTTTGCCACCGGCCACGATGTTGCGCTGGACCATGGCACCCCAAATAGGCCAATGAATGCTCCATCAGAGGAGCCCAAGTGCCGGAAACCAGGCAACAAGTTTCAGTTCAGTTCTTATTCCAATTTGGGGGTCTAAAATGGAGGTACCCCAAATCATCCAAGGACAATGGATGACCATGACATCCATGACTTAGTTTTGAAAGCTATGGTGACTTTGGGGAGCCATCCCCATGAGATCCCCATGATGAACCCGTTATTCCCAGGTCTTTCGGTCAGAGCGTGAAGCGTATGGACGAGGAACTGAAGGTCGAAGCGAGTATTTTTTTTAATTGGGATATTCACAATTATCTACAGAAAGATCTATGGATAATCATTAGTTAATGGATATTATGGATATATATATAATGAATTATATACATGGATATTCACAATTATCTAATGAATTATATAAATGGATTATTAATTAAATCATTACTTAATGGATATTTATTAATGGATTATAAATAAAAAACATGATAACTAATGGATTCATTGCTATTGACATATGATATCTATGGGCATATGGAAATATTGGATATAATTGGGATGTTGAATGCTTGGGATAAATGGCTAGGGACAATTGGGATATTAACATATGAATAGCATTTGATGGATGACTAATGGATTATGCATGGATAAATAACGGATAAATAATTGATAATTAATGGATAAATAATGGATAATACATTGCTATTGACATATGATATGTATGGAAACATCATGGAACATATATATATATATATATATGCAATACACTATGATAAGTTATTATATCTGGATTTTATGGAACTAACAGACATGTCTTGGATTTGCTGAGTCGAAGATTTGGAAGCAAATCCAAGATGGATCAATTCAGGCTATCCAGTGGTGGCGGGAGCGGGACCTTAAGGAGTGAGATCGATCAACCGGAAACAAAAAGGGGAGCATGTTGAAGCTAATGAGAGGTTCCCAACCACATGATCCGTATTTGATTATTTGATGGTTCTTTTTTGGGGATATGAACACTCGCGCCGAAGACCATGTTGACTGAATTTTGTGGCTCAGAAATCTTGAAAATTGTTTGGAAACCTTGGAACCCCCATCCTCTAAGGCACCTCATAACCAACATAAGCTATAGACCCCCAGCAATTTCCAATATATATATATATATAGCTGGAAAATCAACCATTAATGCGATTCTTTTAAACCATATATATTATTTCCATGGAACCTTGTGGATTTCCAGGCATGTTTACATCGCTTCAGCTCACCAGCAAGGCCAGCTTTGGGCAAGTGGAGAAACAAAGTGTTCAAGTGGAAGAGCTGCAGAGGTGACGTCTGGTGGCTGGCATTCCAGGAAGGAGCCCCCTAGTTGTCAGCCACCAGAGTGACTTTGGTGACTAGATGATGTTGGTGGCTGAAGTGCAGTTGTAAGATGTTGTGAGTGATTTCAAAACTCCAACATGATCATTATCATCCAGAAGTAAGTTGTATTCACCAGAAATCCACGAGTTTAGCGCCTCATCGGAAAAAATACCTGCCAACGGGGGAGGCTGTTCCTGAATACAAGTCAGCAGTATCCCACTTGCTGATGGGGTATAGCAAAAAAAATAATATGCATACTATCCAGTTTTGTTGGGTTGATCCAACTTGATCTCGACCCAGCCACTTCACCGGTGTCATGGCAACATGCGTCCCCACAACGGCAGACAAACGATGGCCGGAAAGAAACCATCTCCAACTTAAGGCATGTTTAATGGATATGAAACAACATCCAGCAAAATCCAACAAACCATTTTTTTGAACATGTGATTTCACAAGGTCTACAGGTCAAATCTCTTGGGGCGGTTCGCCGCGCAAGCCTTCACCAGGCGCTCAGTGAAGGCTTGCGAACAGCTGCTGAACCACTTTGCGGAGAATACCCAGGACGCATCCAGTCACCGGGTTCAGCATTTTGTCAGGTATTTTTTTTTTAGCATTCTATGACAGATCAACACAACTGGTAGATCACTTAGATCACTATGAAACAATTTGGAGCGACCAATGGGTCAATCTTGAAGCAGACTTGGGGTGAACCGAAGGTCGAAACAGGTCGTGAGTTGTGTCGTGCACATCGACTGTTTGACCCATGTCTCCGTGGATTTGCAATGTCAGAGGAATCAACGACACGAAAACAGGGTCCGCATGGTCCGTGATCATCATACCCAGACCATCCATGTATGTACTAGTACCATCTGGTACCTACGTTTACCCCATAATGTGTACGTATATACTGTAATCGATTACAATTAAAATCGTAAATAATCGTGTATGGTATACCACTTTTGGATACTTTTGGAGTTCCCAAGATGTAATCCATCAACCAGGCCGGTAAGGCCTAATTATCACTTATCATTTTGGTTTTGGTTGGGTCTGGTGCCTGCTCTGATGGGGTCTGAATCCATGGTGATTGTAACGAGCTTCACATTCTAAACATCACTGGAGTTCTTGCAATGGAATTACACACATAAATATATTGATATATGAGTTGTAAGCAAGATGCGAACATGAATATGTAACCAATATGCAACCATGAATATCTACATGCATGGATTGAACTACCTGTATCTATAAGTATACGATTGTTATGAATCATTGGACACCCAAACATCTCGAATCACCATGGAAAATAAAGATCCATGACATTTGCCCCAATCAATTTTCCATCTATGACATATTAGGGATTACTTGCTATGAACGCGAAAATATCTGGGAATACATATCTGGTTGGTGGTTTCAAACATGAATTTTATTTTCCATTTCATGTATGGGATAATCCTTATAATCCTTCCCATTGACTTTCATATTTTTCAAGATGGTTAAAGCCACCAACCAGATATATATATATATATGTGCTTGGTGGACGCTTCATGAAGACATACATGTACACAAAAATACCGTCGTTTTGCGGCCATGGAAGCTATCCAGGACCAATTGGCTCAGATGCGGCAGATGCAGTCCCAGCTGCTGGATGGTGAGGAAAACCCAGTGGATCAACTGAGACGCTGAACAAAACACCGGGAATCACCAGGCTTATGGGAGCTATATACTATAAATCACCAAGTTTGGTTGTTTATGGCAGTTTCCCACATGAAAATTGGTTTAATTCAGTAGGACTAGGACACATCTTAATTCATCTTGACTTATCAGTTGATCGTATAAAATTCGTCTATTGAAACATATTAAGTTATCTTAATTCCAAGTTTTGGACTGTGTACTGGCAAATAAGATGAATTAAGATGCATCGTATTAATTCATGAATAACATGAATGATGATGTCATGAAGGATTATGATTAAACATCAAGGGGATCATTCGGGATAACTTCTTGATCCCCAAGTTGGGGATTATGGGATTATTACAACCGTAAAAATAACCCCATGCGGGAAACATCCCAGTGGATCCCCATGGAACGGCTGTGGATGCTGTGGGGAACACTAGGAAGGGGGCTGATCGCTAGGGTGTCTAATGTCAAGCCAGGATTCGTGTGCAAACCCATTCCTTTTGGCGGGTTATCATGTTTTATAGTAGTTTACTATGCCAACTCCTCAGATTCATCAACAGAGTTTATCAATTTGGGGTTGATATTGTCAACCAGCAGCAAATCAACGAACGATGGGTGTGTTAAACTTTCACGAACTCATCAATCAACAACAGTCGTGGGAAATTTAATGAGCAATTGACCGGTAGAGAACAACACAAAATCAACAGATAAAGGGTTGGTTAACTTCCGTTAATTTGTCAGTTAAGATTAAGAAGCCAAACTCTAGTTCCTCAGTGGCCATGAAACTTGGTACAGCAACTGGTTCATAATCATGATCACTAACCCTGTAGCCTAGTGGTGATGAGATATTCTCAGAATTCACCTCTTAATCTATCCGAACTTTACCCAACTCCGTAGTGGTAAGCAGGGTGAATTTCTCTGCTCAAAATGGAACGACCCCATGTCCATTTTGGGTTGGTTCTACCTTCATTGGTTGGTTCGTTGGCCCGCAGTTTTTCAGTTTCATCACAGTTCCCATTTTGAGATTATTATGCACTTAGAAAAGAGATCTGGGGATGTGAATGGAAACTTCATGGGAATATATTCAAAGTGAGATTCCCAAGTGCAATTCTGTCCCCAGGTTTTGGTGGGCGAACTCTGGCCTTGGTCAATTTCTGAAGTCACATAGATTATGGGGTTGATTGGGGATGTACTGGGGATACGATGGGATATTGTTCCATATACAATCAACATTGTTTGATATGATATCCTACAATATGATATCTTTTTTCATGTCTAATTTGTTTGATATGGTCAATGGTCTTTGTAATGGTATGTATGTATATAATTATATATAGAACATACATATATCATATCATATATATATATATACATACCTTCATGCCCGTTCCCCATGGCCCCTTGCTGGGCCATGGCCATGGCCCTGGCCGCGGTCAAGGCAAGAAAAGCACCGCGGGAGATCTTCATCAACTGCTGCAGGCCCTGGCGTTGAGTGTTCCCTGTGGCACTGTGGCAATTAACATAGAATATTAACATATAATATCTATGGAAGTATCATAGGAATATGTATATATATACAATATAAAACACACACATATATAATAATAATAATTAATAATGATAAATAACAATCAATAATAATAATTAATAATAATGATAATTAACAATGATAATACTAATTAATAATAATAATTATTAATAACAATTATTAATAATAATCAAAGGAAGTTGGGAAGCAATACTTCCGAGTTACGAATGACTTTTACTTGGTGCAATTGACTATGATGAAGGGTGGTAGATCATGTAACAATACATAATGTACCAATACATCACAAAAGAATAAGAAGCAATGAAATTGACCTTGAGGAAGGGTGGTAGATCATATAACAATACATAATATAACAATACATAATGTACCAATACATCACAAAAGAATAAGAAGCTATGAAATTGACCTTGAGGAAGGGTGGTAGATCATATAACAATACATAATATAACAATACATAATGTACGAATACATAACAAAAGAATAAGAAGCTATGAATTTGACCTTGAGGAAGGGTGGTAGATCATATAACAATGCATAATATAACAATACATAATCTAATCAAAGGAAGTTGGGAAGCAATACTTCCGAGTTACGGAAGTGGCGACGAAGGGAAGTGGTGATGAAGGGGAGTGGTGAGGAAGGGAAGTGATGGCGGGAAGTGGCGACGATGGGAAGTGGTGAGGAAGGGAAGTGGTGAGGAAGGGAAGTGGTGACGAAGGGAAGTGGTGATGAAGGGGAGTGGTGAGGAAGGGAAGTGGTGGCGATGGGAAGTGATGAGGAAGGGAAGTGAGAAGCGATGGAATTGCTGACGATGGGAAGTGATGAGGAAGGGAAGTGGTGACGATGGGAAGTGGTGAGGAAGGGAAGTGGTGACGATGGGAAGTGGTGAGGAAGGGAAGTGGTGACGATGGGAAGTGGTGACGAAGGGAAGTGGTGAAGAAGGGAAGTGATGAGGAAGGGGAGTGGTGACGAAGGGAAGTGGTGAGGAAGGGAAGTGGTGAAGAAGGGAAGTGGTGACGAAGGGAAGCGGTGACGAATGGAAGTGATGATGAAGGGGAGTGGTGACGAAGGGAAGTGGTGAGGAAGGAAAGTGGTGAAGAAGGGAAGTGGTGACGAAGGGAAGTGGTGAAGAAGGGAAGTGATGATGAAGGGGAGTGGTGACGAAGGGAAGTGGAGAAGAAGGGAAGTGATGATGAAGGGGAGTGGTGACGAAGGGAAGTGGTGAAGAAGGGAAGTGGTGACGAAGGGAAGTGGTGCGCATTGGAATGGCTGCATGAATGTTGCATCGGCTTTGTGTTGGGGAGGAAGCCGGAGCACCAAACCTTGTGTTTTTCAGTGTAAAGTGGCTGCAGCCGACGATGAAAGGTACCTCGTCTGTGCGACGGGTGCGGCTGCGGTCGTTTTGTCCGCGAATTGTTCCTCCTATGTGTTTTGCAACGAGTGGTTGTGTCTGTGTGCGTAGTTCTATGCGGTTCTTGAATCTCTGGTTGCAGATTGCATTGGAATGGCTGCTTCATTGTCGTCATTTGATGTTGCCACGTGCGTAGATAGGTGCGGGTTTGCCACGGGATGCTGCGAAACGCATTGTAATGGCGGCATGAATGTTGCATGGGCTATGTTTTGGGGAGGAAGCCGGAGCACGAAACCTTGTGTTTTTCCGTGTAAAGTGGCTGCAGCCGACGATGAAAGGTACCTCGTCTGTGCGACGGGTGCGGCTGCGGTCGTTTTGTGCGCGAATTGTTCCTCCTATGTGTTTTGCAACGAGTGGTTGTGTCTGTGTGCGTAGTTCTATGCGGTTCTTGAATCTCTGGTTGCAGATTGCATTGGAATGGCTGCTTCATTGTCGTCATTTGATGTTGCCACGTGCGTAGATAGGTGCGGGTTTGCCACGGGATGTTGCGAAACGCATTGTAATGGCTGCATGAATGTTGCATGGGCTATGTTTTGGGGAGGAAGCCGGAGCACCAAACCTTGTGTTTTTCCGTGTAAAGTGGCTGCAGCCGACGATGAAAGGTACCTCGTCTGTGCGACGGGTGCGGCTGCGGTCGTTTTGTCCGCGAATTGTTCCTCCTATGTGTTTTGCAACGAGTGGTTGTGTCTGTGTGCGTAGTTCTATGCGGTTCTTGAATCTCTAGTTGCAGATTGCATTGGAATCGCTGCTTCATTGTCGTCATTTGATGTTGCCACGTCCGTAGATAGGTGCAGGTTTGCCACGGGATGTTGCGAAACGCATTGTAATGGCTGCATGAATGTTGCATGGGCTATGTTTTGGGGAGGAAGCCGGAGCACCAAACCTTGTGTTTTTCCGTGGAAAGTGGCTGCAGCCGACGATGAAAGGTACCTCGTCTGTGCGACGGGTGCGGCTGCGGTCGTTTTGTCCGCGAATTGTTCCTCCTATGTGTTTTGCAACGAGTGGTTGTGTCTGTGTGCGTAGTTCTATGCGGTTCTTGAATCTCTGGTTGCAGATTGCAATGGAATCGCTGCTTCATTATCGTCATTTGATGTTGCCACGTGCGTAGATAGGTGCGGGTTTGCCACGGGATGTTGCGAAACGCATTGTAATGGCTGCATGAATGTTGCATGGGCTATGTTTTGGGGAGGAAGCCGGAGCACCAAACCTTGCGTTTTTCCGTGTAAAGTGGCTGCAGCCGACGATGAAAGGTACCTCGTCTGTGCGACGGGTGCGGCTGCGGTCGTTTTGTCATCCCCGTTGGTACTATGCAAATGTTTTCCTGTAGGTTTGCCCTCCCAAGACATTTTTGAAATTAATTTTTTTGATTATTTTTGCAAGTATCATGAAGGTAGAGGATTAGGAAAAAAATTAGGTTTATTTGATCATCTTAATTATAGAAAGAAAACTACTAGTATATACAAGAGGGATGAGAGATGTGGATTTTATTTTAAGAATCAACCAAAAGAAACCCTGAGGGGGGGAGTGTTGGAGGATAGGAAAAAATTGAACATGTTGTTTATTATATTTTGCCACTTGTTTACCTCAGGGTACAGGATAAAATTTGTGAATTCATGAGTTCATAATAATTATGATAATTTTTCATGGGTTTATCATATTGGCCCCCCCCCCCGAAAATGGTGCAGCCTCAATAACAGTTGCTGCAAGGGGTCTTAAAAAATTTAAAAAGGGGTTTTAAATAAACATAATAAACCCCTTTTCGTGCATCATTTCACGCTGCACAAGACACAGTGTCATGCAGTCATGCTCTGGATAAAATCATCTTAGACTGCGCAAAAACATTTTTGGTGTATCATCTTAGGGGCGCAGCATTTTGACACCACTCCTCTCCCACTACACTACCTTTCGTCCGCCTCCGCCTGCTCTCAAGTGAACCAGGCTGCTGTCCGGTCGAGTTTGAAAGCCAATGCAGATACAAAAGCACTACATCTGCATAATCAGAATGATTTTCATATTTTTTGATCATATTTGATAACTTTGTGTTTCGTTGAGCCTTCGACTGGTAGCTGCCATGGCCGCTCGGTGGGTTGTGGCCCTTCACAGAAACTTGTGGGGTGACAGCCAAGATGACAACAGCAATCTTGCGACACAACTCTCGGTTCCTGCAACTGATACCGTGTGTGACTGTACAGATGTTTGTGGATCTGAGTGCAGGATTTTGGGCAAAGATTGGTACGATTGGTTGTTCATGGTTTTGCAAACGTTGCATGATTTGCTGATATTTGCCGTGGGATTTGAATATTTGGAATGTTGGAGCGGTTTTCACTTTGAGTGGTGAATTTTTTTCCTTGTGTGGAAGGGTTATGTTGGTATCATTCTCAATTCGAAATCCCCAGATGCTTTCACAACAGGATTTTTTTTTTTAATATCCTGTCTGGCACTGCACATTGCTCTTGATATGCATTGGAATTATTTTCCTATGGGTGAGGTCCTATTCAGAAAGATCTATTCTCATTTGTTTGGCCTTTTGGAATTAATTGTCCAACATTGTCCTGCTGGTTTTGATGGCGATACTGGTGATATTGTAATTATCGTCATAGTTGTTGTTTTGTATGATTAGTGACTAGTGTGTGTTTGTCTCTTTGTATTCTCTGTGTCGGTCCGAGGAACGCTCAACGCCAAATTGAGTGTGGACCGGCTTGCCAAGCCCGCAGCTGTCTCAACAAGCGAGTGCGTGAATGGCGTGAACTTAGGGGAGAAGTTCCGCGTGTTTTGGCACTAAAAACTGAGAAGACAGGCTGTGGATTGTTCGCCGGTCAGGCATTGAAACAAGGAGCCAGTGGCCAGCGAGTAATAGATGAACAGTTGTAACAATTACAATAATTACAGTGGTATAATTATGATAACTATGGATTGGACAACTCATCATTTATCATGCTATCACCAACCTAGTAAACATCCCCAAACATCCCCCAAACAGTTTCTGGGGAAAATTGACTGGCAAGAAACAAACCATACAGCTACTGTAGTATCATCTTGGATCCTGTTTTGGTTGCAATTTGATGTTCATTCAATTTTTTAGTGGCCCAACAGAGAACTATGAGAACTTAAATATGGTTGGATCCAATACCATTTCAGTGCTAATTTGCTCATCCTTATCATTATTATCATTATTATCATTTTGGTTGGAACATCAGCCACTCAGTGCATGTCTCTACTATTTGTGATATTTGTTTAATTTTGTTTACATCTTTTAGTCTTTTGATCTCTTTTGTTTCCGCAGGAGACTTGGTTTGCGAGTTCACGGGTCAGTGGCGCTTGGGAAGCGCTTTTGCCCCCAACGAGCACACCGTTCAAGTGACATCTGCTGGCCCGCCAGCTGTGTTTTTGGATGCAGGAGGGAAAGTGTCAACGATGTCAACATATGTCAACGATATACTTTAATACTATTTATATATATATATATACTATTTACTGCGAAATCAATATATAAGATTAAATAGGAATTATATACCATTA